CAGCGGCCCTCGCTCGCCTGACCTCCGCGCTATTTTCAACCCGCTCGCCAGCAATCCCGTCAATTCGACCGGGCCGTCATGGGACTCTTCCAACGAAGACCTGTCTGGCTCACCCAGCTCCCCTCTAAGGCCCCGTGGAATGACCAACTCTTCGCAAAATTTCCATCCAACACCGCCTCTGAGATCCGTGACCTCGATCCCCGACTACGCCCAATACCGAGGCAACGAACGCTCCAATCTATCCGGCACCTACAAGCCGAACAGAGGTGTTCCGAACTGGTCCCACACTGACTACTACCCTCCCCCACCTCGACCGTTTCGTGGTGAGGAGCCACGGGCCAGTTTCAGATCCGGTTGGACCAATGCGTCTTCCAGTGTACTCGAGACTAGTGGCACGGAAAGAAGCAGTATTGTCACTGCACGGAGCTCCATCGCCAGTGATCGACACAACAGCGTCTATTCCCGGGATCCATCGAGAGATCGCCTGGAACGCCTTCGGGAACGCGACGGTTCCCCGGAAACTATACTGACTTCAGAAATCGCCGAGGAAGATGAGAATCTAGACGCCGTTGGTGATGTGTTAGATTCATATTACTACGATGAAGAAGATGAGGAGCGTAGTCCTATCATGGAGCAGGATGAACGAGACATGCAAAGCCCGTCGCCTGCAGGTCTTGACGCGGAACTCCCCGAGTTGTCGCAAACGCCCTCTCGCGATTTCGACTCCCTGGACTCCTTCCAATCGAATGAAAGCCTCAAGCAATGGGATGATCGGACACGCCTTTCAACGCACAGTAAACTTGGACGAAACGCGGATTCCAAGGAGCTATTGACAATTCGTCCTCCTTCCGGCTCGGATGTGGACGAGGTATACAACCTCGATCCGACAGAGCGAAAGGCGCTGCGAATCGAACTACTGCCCTCGGTACAGGTCAGCCCATTCCAGGCTGCATATACCCCACGAACAATCGAGGCCGCAACGCAACAGTCCAGAAAGAAGCGATCGAGCACAGTGAAACGAACGAGTGAAGAAGCACCGAGGCGTGTGTCTGTCACACTGCAAGCTCTTGCTCTCAGAACCACGGAAGCCAAGGGCCACCGCTCGAGTAGATCGATGGGTAGCCGCTCACAGCTGGACCATATCCGTCGTGATATTTCCAATCTTCCACAATTACCCCCAAGTCGATCGCGAATGTCGCGCCAGGATTGGGCCAACATCGAAGCTTACTCCAAGCGACACAGCAAGAGACCAAGTGTCCCTCGCACCTTTTCTAGTGAATCTCTTGCCAGTTCTCATGTTCCTCAATCTCCGCCTATGCAAAGATCTGAGCCGCTCCCCGAGCTGGACGAAGACGAGGCTATTCCTCGTCGCGCTTCCACGAGTGTCTTCGACCGAAAGAGCGCACTGTTCGATCTTGGCATGATGTCCCAGCTCACGACAGCCAAGAGCAAGCCCGAGTCCCCGAGAGGCCCTACATTGGCACCTCCCAGCCAAATTCCCACCGTAATACCTGGCCTGCGAAAGACGGCTGCCCCTACCGAGAGAGATCGCTATGGATTCAAGAAGGCTTCCGACAAGATCAACGTGCAGGAGTACAACGCATGGGCTTCTAAATACGAAGACCACATCTCCCGCCGGAGAGGCAAATGGATTTCATTGATGGCCAAGCAAGGTCTGTCAACGAATGAGCCTACCAGGTTCCCTGAGATGTGTGAGAAGGTCAAGCGCTATGCTCGCAAGGGCTACCCTCCCGAGTGGAGAGGTGCCATGTGGTGGTACTATTCTGGCGGTCAGCACGTGCTTGCGCGAAAGGAAAATGTCGGCCTGTACAAGTCTCTGGTAGCTCGCGTCAACCGTGATGAGCTCAACAAAGACGACAAAGATGCCATTGAGCGCGACCTCGACAGGACATTCCCCGACAACATCCATTTCCGTCCGGAAGCAGCGACTGATCTACTGGACGGCGAGTCTGACGACGAACCCGTGTTGATCCAGGACCTGCGCGAAGTCCTATCCTGCTTCGCCCTGAACAACCCCAATATTGGTTACTGCCAGTCGCTCAACTTCATTGCCGGCCTTCTTCTATTGTTCCTGAAGCAGGACAAGGAGAAGGTCTTCATCCTTCTCACAATCATCACTCAAAACCATCTGCCTGGTGCTCACGCTCGCAGCTTGGCAAACACCGAGGTCAATGTCCTGATGATGCTGATCAAGGACTACCTGCCAAAGGTATGGGCATCAATTAACGACACCGATCTCATCAACAGCGGCGCCGGCTCCAACGCTCACCCCAACTCCAAGTTCCAACGCCAGCCCACAGTCGCCCTTTCTTGCACTTCCTGGTTCATGAGCATCTTCGTTGGTGTTCTGCCAATTGAAACGGTACTCCGCGTTTGGGACGCCTTCCTCTATGAAGGACCCCGTGCCCTTTACCGCTACGCTCTTGCCATCTTCAAGCTGGGTGAACCAGAAATCAAAAAGTACCGTCCTGGCGATGGCGAGATCTTCATGGCAGTCCAGACACTGCCCAGGCGTTGCCTCGACCCCAACATCCTGCACGACCTGGCGTTCGTGAAGAAGGGGTTCGGCAACCTGTCACAGAACGTCATTGACCAAAAGCGCATGTTTTGGCGTGAACAGAACATCCTGGCGCACCAGACTTCGGTCAAAACCACAAACGGTCGACGAATGCTCACCGTACCACAAGAAGAAGATGAAGACGACGATCGGGACAGCCTCAGGAAGGCCATGGGCATGAACCGCCTGCGCCGTCGCGCATCCCGCAAGTTCCGCCAAATGGGCATCAAGTGAAGAAGCCAGACTTCTCTCCGCCCACACCATCAACAAAGAATCAGTCAACCAACTGAACGTTCAGCACGAGTCCAACGTTCCTCGGCCGTGCTTTTCTCATACTTACATATACGTTTGCAGCGTTTTATCTCCCTCATCGTCCGGCGTTTTACCAAAAAAGAGAAGGTGGTCTATCTGGGTTACTTTGCTTTACCTTCTTGTATAATAATCACGATATACCCTTTTTGCGGGCGGAAGCTTTTCAACTTGAACGAAGGATTGTAGAGAGCTAGAGGGGATGGAGACGGGAGTGCTTGTCGCAAGCATAGCATCGCATCAGATGGACGTGCTTTTTGTTGGGTAATGGTTACGATGTTATGACCCTCATCAGTCAATCAATATACCCTGTTCGTCCTGCTTAGAAATACTTCGACTTTGCTGCATGTGCTTGCTGTGAATGAAGACCTGCTGCTGAAGGGTCCACGAACCAAGGCGCGCATGTGAATCACAACCACGTTTCACTTGATTGGTCCAGTCCCAGATTGCGGGGCACTAATCCCCCACCATAGATTTTCGGCGTACGCCGCTCTAGCCTTGCCTACCTAAGTAGGTAACCATTTCTTGACTCTCCCGCGGGCGGACAGACTTTTTTTTGCAAAAACAATTCCACTCCTCCGTTCAACTTTGATTTCGCTCTTTACACTTGGAGATATTATCCAGAATACTACCGCGAAAATGGTCGAGAAGGTTTACGTTACATACAACCAGGTACGTTCTTTCGAGGTCCGATGTTACACATGCGATCAGACACCCCGCGCACGCACGCGCGTGAGGTGTCTTTGTGTCACCACGATGTATACGACGCGAGGCTGGTATCGCGCCATGCAGATATCGTAGAGAGCGACTTTGGAGAGTCGATTCGTATGCTATTCATGCGACCACGACAATCGAACCCTTGCGCAACATCGCGCAGCAAACAAAGCACAAAGTCCACAGCTAACAACCCCCCTCCCCACAGGTGCACAAGCTGTGCCAAGAAGCCGCAGATCAAATCCTCAATGACTTCAAGCCCAACCTCATGATCGCCATCGGCGGCGGAGGCTACGTCCCCGCGCGCATCCTCCGGTATTATATCCCCAAACCACCACGACACAGTACATACCAAACCAGACAAGATGAACTAACAAAACCCGTCACCCAGATCCTTCCTCAAGCGCGAAAACAGCCCCAACATCCCCATCCAAGCCATCGGCCTCTCCCTCTACGAAACCCTCCCCACAACCACAGACAAAGACGTCGAGACCCCGGGAACAAAAGTAACCCGCACACAATGGCTCGACCTGTCTTCTCTCGAGATGGCGAATCTGATCGGCAAGAACGTGTTGATCGTTGACGAGGTCGACGACACGCGCACGACGCTGGAATACGCGGTCAGGGAGTTGGAGAAGGATGTTGAGGCCGCGGTCAAGAAACTGGGAAGGGAGGGCGAGAAAACGAATTTCAGTATTTTTGTGCTGCATAACAAGGATAAGGCGAAGAAGGGGGCGTTGCCGCAGGAGATTCTCAAGGGGAGGTATAGTGCGGCGAGGACGGTGGGGGATGTTTGGATTTGTTATCCTTGGGAGGCTACGTATGTTGCTTCCCGTTTTACTCGTTCTCTCATGTTCTGTGCTAATACTTTTCTAGTGACATTGACGAGCATGACCGTCTTTCCAGGGAGCAGGAGGGCAAGCAATAGGACTCCGTGCCTGTTTCGGATCCAAGGGAGGATAGGAAGGAGATCACGACAAGCATGAAAGAGAAAAGTATGCGTGACATTTATGGCATTCGATCGATAGCATTTAACGGACGGATGGGATATACTGGAGTTTGAATGGGATTGGATAGCAAGATAGATGTATTGAATGAGCATATGACTTGACATGAATGATCGTGCCAATATGACGGGATTATCATTTCACAGTTCAGATTCGTTATCAGCCATGTTCAACTGATTAGTGATGGGTTGATGGGAGTAGGGAGTGTAAGTGCTGGGTAGAGATTGCGAACGCAGGCCGTGCGAGGTATGAGATATGGAGCAGGGTAATTTGGGCGCAGTGGAGTATTCGGAGTTGACTAGTGTCCAGTTGTATGAAGCATTACTAGGGGTTGCTAGAATCCCTATCGCAATTCCAACGTTTGCTACACCTACACTACTATATCTCAATGACTAGGCACTTTCTGAAGATAATGAAAGCTGCTGCCTCCGGCGTTCCAGCTCCGGCGCCCAGATCTCCTTTACACGGGCATATGGCCGGGACTGTAGCCACCCCTTGTAATGTGGTTGATCGAACCACGTATCCATACCCTTCAACACCTCAAGCTCTCCCTGATCAAAAAACGACCCACTCTCCTGTGGTTTCTTCCCCTCATCATCATCGTCGAAACAGAGTATGTAGAACCTATTCCCCGCGTTTCTGATAACATAGTCTTCGTTCATGACAACGGGGGCGTTGATATCGAGATCGAGTGACTCGTCCTCTATTGTTTCAGACGCGATGGGCTTGTAAGGTTTGCCGTTACTGGCGCCCTCAACCGCATTCATGTTATGTTTGTCGGCTTTCCGGTCCATAAGCGCAATCGTGTCACGCATTTCGCCTTCGACGTCCCCGTCCCAGAATGCGGCATAGCATGTGTCCTTCCACCACGCCATGGCACCGTTGGTATCTAAGTATTCGGGGTGTTCGTAAAGACGGGAACCCTCCCATACACTCATGTCCATTTCTTCTTCGTTGAATCGCACTAGGAAGGATGACTTGCCGTTGGTGTCTCGCATGACTATCGACAGTATGTTCTGCTTGTCGTCGACTGGGACAAAGGTGTTTGGATCACGGGAAAAATACGAGAGAGAAGTTACCCCGTGGAGGTTTGCGTGGTGTGTGCTGAGACACTCCCCGCTGTATGTGTAGCGACCGAACGCGAAGAACTGTTGGTGGAAAGGAACGTCATTGTTACGTGCGGCATTGGCAAACAAGATGATTGTCTGGGTCGCGGGCTGTATGATAGGAGCAATGCCAAGTGATTCGTTCTCGCTAGACTCTGATTAGCTTTACGTGCAAAGAATGCATAGAGTATCCCAGTGTTGGTGGATTCCTTGGCTTCAAAGGATACGAACACCGCTTAGCAACCCCAGAGATTACTTACACGACATCTGTCCCCCAGAACATGTTACCGGGTTCGAATTTAATATCGAAGGATCTTCCACGCTGGGAGTCGTATTCCCAGATATACACCGATGCAAAACCGGAGTCGATATGATAACATGCGACAGTGCGCTCTCGACAGGCAACGCTGGCGAAATAGTTGTTGTTTGGTACTCTGAACTTCTTGCAACCTCGTTTGCCATGCAATTCGTGAACATAGCAGATGTTCGCCCAAGTTGTTAGCGCCACAATCTCACTAGATACGAAGACGTCGATAATTCGTTCACGGCCTTCGCCACCCAGGAAGCGAAGATCCCATGTAGCTAGATCGAGGACGCAAACATTTCGCGATTGGTTTTCCGGAGTGAGGGTTAGGCTTTGCCAGATGAGACTGTTTCCTGCTAAATAGATATCATCTATACCGTCCTTGGGTGTTATCTTGTAGACTTTGCGCGGCTTGCCGGTACGAAAGGCATTGATCTTGCGGGCTTTCTTCTGACACAGAGCGTGATCGGCATCTTGGAAGTTGACAGTACCTTGGTACCAACTGTTGAGGCTTGCTTTGATAACGTGTAAGCTCTGAAGAGTGTGGTTCCATCGTCTTGAGATACTTTGCAAGCGGTAAGGAGCAGCAACGTCTAAATGCGAGAACACCTGGGCCACTAGCTCAACGGGTAGATTGCCGATGACGTCGAATTGGAAGGTGCGACTGCTTGTCGTGGCGTGGAGTGTCCTCCACTCATACGGCGATAATTCTGCTGTTAGAGCCGTGAGTGCCTTTTCTCTCTCATGTACATGCATGCGTCGAAACGCATCGATGAAGTCGGTAGTCATGCTGCATTTTCTGCCGATCAAAGGCAGGGCTATCGATAGGATGGCGACTCGCCACCCGAGCGGTCGGTGATAGACTGGTGCGGTGACGGCAGGTGGTAGCGTCGGGGTAAAGCTAACGTTCTGCGTTGACGGCACCTGGGTTGGGCTGGGGAAAGTCGGTCGAGGCTGACTCGAAGGAAGGTTGGTGGTTGACGTTTATCCAAGGAGGTCCGTGCGTGTAGGCTGCCTGCAGACCCTGGACCCTCCCCTGGCTTACACCACGCGTGAAAGCCGAGGATGGCGTCGATGCTCGCAAGTCGTACTAGCAGTGTTTGACCATGAGCAAGGGAGTCAGTCGGCTTCAGCTGCCCGGCAGCATTTGAGGCAACTCTGGCGAAGGTTCGGTATTCTAGTCTGTGCCACTCACCTTCCGCATCCGCAGCCGCATCACGGGCACTCGGGAGGAGCATAGGCATATGAGGCGCATTATATGCTGACCCCGCAGCAGAAACAGTTCGCGTTATAGTGATATTAGCGGTGGGTTATTATGGTCGAGCAATGTTTCAGTGTCTCGACCTGCAGCTGGCCGAGGGCAGGGGTCGCGGGCACATGCAACGTCGACAAGGAGCGACGTCTTTGCCGTGAGCTGCATGCCATTGCCCTACCATGGCAGCAAACCCGGACGGCGGGCCATGGGCTGTCAGCGGGCGTTGGGGTACCTAGAGCTACACAGTGCTGAGGGCGGTGATAGATAGGTACATAAATGAAGACGGCCATGTGTCCCCTCAGCGTTGGATGACACTTGGCTCGGCTGGTGGTGCGCAAAGGCCTTCAGATGCTCCCGCAGCACGCTCCCACATCGCGATCCCCCATAGTATTCTCAGCGGTAGCGCTACCGTTCCGCCCTCGACGCCCCGTGCCTGGACCTCCTTTCCGTCCGTAGCCAGTGTTGCGACACGCCGGCATATCTCGCCGCGCCTCGCAGCTTGCAAGTTTCCACGAACCTGTCTCCTCCTCCCCCGCCAAGCCTCGCACGCTCAAACACAGTATCCCGGAGCATCTGGAATTGTCGTCGTCTTCAGCGCTCGGACCTGCCCCTCGGACTGCGCGAGCTCCTATTCCTCAGCGACGGCCGCTCCCGATCCGACAAAGGACCACTGGCACCGTCTGCCACGCCGACTTTTTCTGGAACCATATTTCTACGGCTCGCGCAGGCGCTAGAAGAAATCCCCAAGCCTAGGAAGCTTCCAAGACGCTCGCCCGCCGATTCGAAGCTTCTGCGGCGACGTCGGCCACACATATCGCATGCTCCTCCGCATCTTCTCCGCCCGCCCACGTTCGCTGCCACCGCAAGTCGGGACCCTGCATCCACCCGACCTCAAGCATTTTTCGAGACACTTCTGAATCTTTGCGCCCATCGCTCGCTGCTCAATTCCCTTCCCCTGCACGACCCCCGTGCGCCCGTCTCCACGCACGCAGCAGGTCTGACATCTCAACACCACGCCTGCTCTCCACATCGCCCACATGGCTTCTGTCGCAGAGGCCCGCCGCAGTCCCTTTTCGGGTGACCCTCACCATCCCAACCTGCACAAGTCGATTCCGATCCTGCCCTCGTCCAGCCCGAGGCTTGCGGCGTCCCGGGACCCCATGGACATCACGCCCTCGTCGTCGACCATGGGCCCGCCCAACGAGCGCACCCAATCGGTCTCGTTCCAGCTGCCGTCGCAAAGAGAAGGAAACGGCGATTCGGAAAACACTTCGCCTCCCAATGGCAACACGGCGCCTGCAGTGGGCGCTGCCGCAGCTGCACAACAGCCCAAGGTCGTCCAGACGGCCTTCATACACAAGCTATACAAGTACGTGTGCCGCAACAGTACGCACGCGATGCGACACTAACACGACACAGCATGCTCGAAGACCAGAGCATTCAGCACCTCATCTCCTGGGCGAGCACTAACGAGAGTTTCGTCATGTCCCCCTCTAGCGAGTTCTCCAAAGTCCTTTCGTACGTACACCTGAAGCCACGGCCGCTGCAGGCTTTCTGACTAACAAATCCCAGGTCCTACTTCAAGCACACCAACATTTCCTCATTTGTGCGCCAGCTGAACATGTACGGCTTCCACAAGGGTACGTGTCCAATTTCTTTCCGCCATGCCATAATCACATGCTGACTGTACTGCCGCAGTGAGCGACGTTTTCCACACTGGATCGCCAGACACCCCGCTATGGGAGTTCAAGCACGGCAACGGAAACTTCAAGCGAGGCGATCTGGTCGGTCTGCGCGAGATCAAGCGACGTGCTTCTAGACATGCCCTCGTCCATCGCGAGTCCTTCCCCGCGCCCAAAATGCCCCTTGGCCCACCAGCTGGGCAGGCGGTCGACCCAATGCCGGACCCTGTCGAGTCACGTCTCCAGAGTCTCGAATATAACCTCCATGACATGCATGCGCGCATGCAGCGATCGGAAGACACATGCGCATACCTCACTCAAAGGAGTTCGGTGCTAGCCGAGGGCATGATGAAATGCCACCAAGTAAGTCGATTGTCTAGACTTCAATATACAACAGCTAATAGATTATACAGTGGAATCAGGACCTTGCAAACCTCATCATGCAAATGGTGCCGGACCCGGAAAACCCTATCCATAGGGATGGTACGCGTCAATGCTCAAACCTTGTCGGCGCGACACACACTGACTTTTCCAGTCGCTATGATGCAGCGTGAAATTGCTCGACAAACAGACATGCTCCGAGCATTGGAGCCACCAGAAGATGCACCTCTCTCCGCACGCCAATCCTACTTCATGCAAGTAGACAGCAGCAACGGCCCACCCCTTTCACCCCGGCAAATGCCACAAGACAATCTAACAGAGTCGCGGAGAGGATCCTTGGCGAACGTTTCACGGCAAGCTCCATACAAGGCTCCGATCCCGGCCCATCTTGCAATTTCTCCGCGACGTTACGGTTCAATAGGCACGGGTAATTACTCTCCATCTTCAGCCAGAACCCCAGTTTCCCATCAGCCACCCCCACCTCCTCCACCACAAGTCCAGCAGCCGGGAGGTGCAAACCTGGGGAGCAACTTGCCAAGCACTTTGTCCCCTCCGTATAATCTATATAGGCGGCACACCTCGGCAGATATCCGCTTACACGGTTGGCAACCGCAGCCACCCAACCCTGCTGTCAATTCGCCCTACGCTTCTGGTTACAACTCCACACAATGGCCCTCGTCACCGCGCCATCCACCTATCGGAGGTGGTGACCAGCAGCTCCGTGATGCATTGGAATCATATCAATTACCCCGCGGTCCACGTCAAGCACAGTCAAGACACGGCTCTCCTCCACCGCCAAATGAGAATATGCCGTCGACATTAAATCCGGATGCTGGCTGGACACTACCGGGAGCTAGATACCCTTTCAAAGGCCTCGACACTGGACCACCTACTCGACGATCTAGTATGGCGTCCAATGTCCACTCACTCCTCAACCCCGCGGAAACTGCGGAGCGCAGTGAGGAGGATGAAGCAGATGACGTGCGTAAGCGAAAACGCATGCAGTGATGATCATACTCCCCTGTCAACGCAAACTCTTGTTGTGTCACGCGACTTCATTTATTCTGTTGTGTCTTTGCGTTTTGGTATGGCGTTCAGCGAGTCCCGCTCTGGACATGAGATCCACATTTCGATTCCCACATCCTCATCACGGCGTCTGGATACCACTATTCAATTTCCTATTTCTTATCCATTCCTTAATTCATATCGAAGAAAAGCTGTTGCATAAGGGCATGTGCATGCATTGGGTGGTGATGACTTTCGGCATTGCTCATTGATCTGGAGTACTTACGTGGTCAGTGTCGATGGATTGAATCTACTTACACTTTGCATGTTGACAGTCGTATGGTCAGGTTTGAGTTATGTTGTGCTAGCCTCGAATGAGGGTTAGTTCGGATGCAATGTAAACTTCGGTTACTTGTGATTACCTGGTGTTCTAACATACCAACGTTTACAAGCACTGCATATACGAGCAATCCCCTGGCCCCCGTTGTACAATACATGCAGTGGTCGCCGATGTCGCACATGTGGGAGGTCCCCAACGCGCAGATGATCGCGATTTTGATCAGCCAAACTACCCTCACTCAGCTCGCACCACGCCGAAGGCATCCCACTATGCGATCGTGAGAAGCGAGCTGAAGTTTGAGGCGACGTATACCACAAGGCGAGCGTGCTTTCCAGACGCGACCTTGGAACGCGTCCTTATCTTAGCGCAATCTCAACACCACACTACGTCATCGGGATCCTTCATCCAGAGCCTTGTATTTCACCTCTTGAACTCCTATTGACAATCTCACAGCATTCGTTCTTTTATTCCTACCGCCAAGATGCCTACCATACTCGTTGTAGGCGCAACGCGCGGCCTTGGTGCGAGCATCGTACAGAAATACGCAGCAGACGCGAACAACCATGTTCTAGCGACCGCGAGGGCGTCAGAGCCTCCAGAGAACAGTAGGCAAATTCCCGTTAGCCCTGCAATGCTATAGTAGACTAAGTCTCTACACAGCAAGCAACATAACATACATCCCCAACGTCGATCTCGAATCACCACACGTCGGCAGCGATCTCGTCCACTTTCTTGAATCAAACCACATACCACATCTGGACATCGTCATCATAACAGCAGGATACTTTAAGACAGAATCGCTTGAGGAGCCCTCGTTCTCCGCGCAACAGCGCATGTACACCACCTGCGCCATCGGCCCCACCATCCTCGTCACCGCCCTCGCCAACTACAACAGCACGCTCCTCTCCTCCGCCTCCAAGATCGTCTTCGTCTCATCCGAAAGCGGCAGTATAACACTGCGACACGAATCTGAAGGCGGCGGCAACTACGGTCACCATGCTAGCAAGGCAGCACTCAACATGTGCATGAAGTTGTTGAGTATAGATCTGAGGGATAGGGGGATTGCGATTGTCTCTGTTCATCCGGGCTTCATGCGGACGGAAATGACTCGTAATGTGGGCTTTGATAAGTTCTGGGATGAAGGAGGGGCGGTTGAACCTGAGGTTGCTGCGGAGAGCCTGGTGGAGTGGATTGAGACGTTTGATATTAGTCATACTGGACAGTACTGGGCGCCGAGGGGACCTGGGTAAGTTGTTGTTGATCTGAGATATAAGGAAGTGAGCTAACAGGGGGTCTAGTGATATTGGTACTGCTGAACCCGTGTTGGGGCCGAAGAGCAAGCTGTCCACTCCTCTCCAGCTGCCTTGGTGAGCGGTCTGACCGGCTGGTGTTGTTAGATCGCGAAAAACGATGACTGATGAATTATCGATATCGGCAGAGAAGTCAGGAACGAAGTTTCGAATGATACTCTAGATTATAAACTAATGTTCTACATAAATGACTTTTCCAACGCCTCGCTCCCAAAACAGCACTCTAATCGAAAAACAAAACGCTATACACTATGCTAAAACACCCGGAAATCAGCGCTAGAGTCAGTCGACTCAGTCCTCGCCATGCTCGCACCATCTTCTTTGGTCTCTTCCTTGGTCTCTGCCGGAATCCACTTCTCCGCATCCCCCAAGCGATCCGCCGTAAGACCCGCAGAGCCCGGATTGCGCATACCCGCCTCCAACTGCCTCTGATAACTGATCTGCCTCAACCTCTGCGCTTCCTTTGGCGTAAGCTGCAAGTAGACCTCCACACCGAAAGCGTGCAGCGCAAACGACACCCACAACGCCATACCGAACGCCGCATTCAGCGCAGCCCCCGTGTTCTCCGGGCCCCCAACCGCAAACGTCGCTGCGACGCTGGAGACAGCCTCAGGATCCGTGCCGTTGACAAAAGCCGCGCAAGCGGGGTACGAAGACGCTAGATCCACGTTGCCGGCAACTGTTGCAGCGAGCTTTGCGCAGGACCAGACGACGTGGTAGTTTTGCTTAGCGATGACCTGCGCGGCGATGATCATGATGAGTCGAGTTGTGATGATGCTGCCGGCGTAGAACCAGCCCCGAAGCATCCATGCTCTGTGCTGCTCAATCTGGAGTCTCTTGACGTTGATGTAGCTGACGATGAAGCAGCCCAGACTTGCCAACCCAGCAAGTCCAACCCAAGCCTGTACATCGAGCCCGCCGCCGAATGCATGCCGTGCGATCATCAGTGCGCCAACGAGACCGACAATGTACAGCAGGAGTGCAGCGTACCCGCCGATGCGATGAACGATAATCCACCTCTTTCGAATAAACGGCGTGAACTGCAGTACAGCGAGTAGACTAGCGGGTAGCACGCCAGCGAGATGCAACAAGATTCCGATTTTGTACTGGCTGAAGTTGAGGTAGTAGTAGCATTCTCCTGGTGCGGCGCCGTTGCCGGTGGAGCTGGGGCCGGAGGAAGGGCAGAAGTTTCGTGAGAAGTCGAGGTAGGAGACGCGGGCTAGGGCGAAGCCGACGAGTGCGCCGCCGAAGATGAAGTAGAGGAAGAAGTTGTAGGTTTTTGTGAAGCCGAGGGGGTGGATTATGCGTTTGGTGAAGAAGTTGGGGGTGGGGGCTGAGGCCACCATTGTGATGGTTGATGCCGAAACCTTGGAGAGGGATGTGGTTTAGTAGGTAGTTGTAGTGTAGCTGATGGAGACGATTGGTTTATAGTGCTTGAGGTAGAAGCTGATTGAAAGTAGTCGAGGCGATGTTGGTTGCTGGTTGTATGCCATCTTCGAGAGAGAGTTGGCTTCATGTTATACCAGTTGACCACACACTTTGAAGACGATCACCATGCCGTATTGAGAACATTTCGCGCTGGTATGCAGGAGAAGACGTTTTGTCAGCGGAAGGTACCCAGCGCGCATTAACCCCGCAAAGGGTGCCCCATGCGACAGGAGAGTCCCCTTGACCGATTGTTAAGGCTTCGATGCGATCGCAATGGTAATCAAGATATCGCATGGCTACTTCGATCTACACCGAACTATCTGCGGTGAAAGCTGGGGCCCCTCTGCAGCAGCGCGAGTTGTCGCAGAATCAGCCGAAAGGGGTAAGGCGCGAGGAACCATCATTGGTTGATTGAGATGACATAGTGGAACGCCTGATGCTTAACAACGTGGAAGTCATACAAGCCACCTCCCAAGCATGTCGACCGTCGTCATAGACAAATGCGCACCAATCAATAGCTAGCCATACAGCTACTACACGCGCTTCACAGCCCTACGAGACTGCGCTTCTTTACCGTTACGCTAGCAGGCAGACGATGTATGTCCATATAGGGAACATTCTGCGCTGAACAGGAGTGACAGCGGACGAAATCCATCGTGCATGCGCCAACTCTAACTTTACGAGATGGTGGGAGTTCCAGGACGCTCCAAAGGCTGCGTGACGTGCCGAAAAAGAAAGAAGGGCGTAAGTGCGAGCGCCTACGAGCAACACCCAAGACGTGAAGCTGATGTGTTTTAGTGCGATCTAGTCCAGCCTGAGTGCGGTCAATGCAAAGAACGCGGGATAGCATGCGGAGGCTACGACTCGGACCGCATCTTCATCTACCAAAAAGGAAGCGGGCCTACCCGTCCTGCACCAAAATTAGGACGCCATGCGACGCCTGAGAAGTCTCCCGGACAGCCACCTCGGCAAGGCATGCAGATAATGCAATTCAACCCTGTATCGACTCCAGGAACACAGAAAGCATGTTCCATGTCGATACCAATCATGCTGCCTGATGCGCTCGCGAGATCCGCTTACAGCGAGAAGACTATGGCGACTTTCTTGAATATGTACAACCCGCAGGGCGTTATCCACACCACCAACACAGACGCAAAGGAGTTTGTTAGCTTGCTACCCTTGCTTAGCACGCGCGATGAAGCATTACAGATGGCTGCTCTGGCAGTTGGCATAACACAGCTTGGGGTAACTTCGGATAATGAAGCTCTCACGCGGCAAGGAAGGACACTGTATGGGAAAGCGCTCAAGGAAACAGCCGTGGCTTTACAAAACCCCGCTCGAGCGAGTA